ATCTAACCAACGCAGAATACTAACCGCGCCAGTTGAGTGTCGTGGAAATGCTGGACTTTGCCGAGTGGCTTGGTGTCACCGTTCGCAGGCTTGCTCACTGCATCCCCCTAAAGGGGGATAGTTGTCAGGTATGTCATTTGAAATGACATACCAAGATTAGAAAACAGACCCGAGTTTGATGTCTGCTTGTTCGGTGGTGTTTTGTGGTATGTCTTTCTCTTTAGGTTTGCAAAAGACATTCAACTGGACGGCCTCCTTAGTCAGCTGCAACAAGCAATCATCGAAGTGGACATAGCTGATATTGTTTGCCCTTAGAAACGCATCATCAAACCTGTACGTTCCTTCGGGCGTGTTGGCCTCCAACGTCACCATAAATCGAAATTCTTTACCGCTACGTTGCGTCACATGGCCAGTGTAATAGAGGTTCTGAATCTCATACAATCCAAGCATTTTGCGCATCAGTTCAAGCCTGTTTGATGCAAGAGAAATTGAATCACCGGCACGAGCGTTAGACGCACCGCTATTCCCACCATTAGATACATTGCCACCACTTTGAGCGCCGCCTTTAGCCACCCCAGTGGACGAGTCAGAAACTTGAGACTCATTGACCGACGAGGACGATTGCGCATCCTTCTCAGAAGCACCAAAAACCAGACCGGATAAACCATAAACAAAATACCCCATGCACCCTATACCAATAACAAACGTCGCTAAGAACTTCGGGTTCTTATACAACACATTCACCGCACCGGATTGTTTCGCTGTACCTGTCGCCGTGGACTTGTAAAGCAAGAACGCCTCAAGCGGTATTTTTACGCTCAGAACGTTTGGATCTTTTCCTTTTGGGATAACAGGCGTTGCCGTATTTTTAGGGTGTTTGTATATGTACGGCTTACGACGCGCCCAGAACATGCCGTCATTACCTTTGTGGAAAAAGCATTGTTCAGCACAGGCGCGAATTGCCGTATCAATCTGACCCCAATCAGGCGATAGCAGCTCAATATCCCAGTTGTATTTCCGGTGACGCATGAATCCCTCATTGAACGAAAACGGATAGATAATCCGGCCTTGTGCGTCGTATTCTGCTTGCCCTCGGTCGTCCACTTCCGATGCATCGAGTTGACTCATATCAACGGGCAAGTATCGAGAGTGAAAGAACGCTTCATAGTCTTTGGGCAGGTTCGGCAGAAAATCCGAAAGAGGGCGACCGGACACCTTTTCCATACGAAAGCCGATGTTCTTGGAAAAGATATCCTGGCACTCATCAATCACAATCAGTGCGCCCAGTGGACACCAAGAGAAAAAGTGTTGCCATAGGTCAATGCCGTTCTTGTCTCGACTGAAAATCCGAATCAACCGAGCCGTAGAAGGGAAGGTGATGTCCAGACGTTTCTCGATTTCCTCAAGTGGTTGCATCCCTTCAATGTTGGTCACGACCACACGGCCAGCTTTAAGGGCAGGGAGTATCACAAAATGACAAACATAAGAGGATTTGTAGGAGCCGTTCGCCCCCGTTCTTATCGTAATCGCCATATCATCACCTCAGCATCTTCATCACAAAGCCAGTCGATAGAAAGTTGAAGTAAACGCCAATCGCGTGAGGCACACCGAACGCATAAGCGTAGTACCTCAACTCGTCCGGTAAGGCGTTAAACGCACTGGCAACCACCGAGTTAAACCCAATTTCCTTGAGTAACAATTGCGCGGTGGTGTAATAGACTTGCATCGTCCAGATAAGCCAAGTCAGTTTGGCTTTGATGTACCAAACGTTAATGTAGGCCATGAGTTGTTGGAAGTAGGTCGGAATGAAATCGAAGAACTCGACAACGGTCTGACCCACATCACCAAGCGCATTCAAAATGTCTAACAGAAATTGCATACAAACCTCCGTGTTATTTCACTAAGAAACGAATGCCAAACAGCACCGCAAGGAACACCAGAACGGCAGCGATTAGGCTTGAGTTGTCTAAAAGAGCAGGGAATACACTAGAGCCGAATGAATATTCGCGCCCTTGAATGTGAAACTTCCAACGGTGTTCAACGTACTGGCCGCCATTGAGTTCGGACGAATCAAACGAAAACAGACCTTGCATCGCTTTCATTTGCTCGGAGTATTCAGTTTTCAGTGTTTCGATTTCGGCTTTCATTTCGGTGAGGGTGTCCTCGCCATACAGACCCGTACCATTAAAATCAATTTTTCCCTCAGAGCCACGAGTGGAAAGACCATCACCGTTCAGTGTGCCAACGATTGAATCAATCCCATCACCAATACCTTGCAGCTCGGTATTGATGCCCTCAAAGCCGTCACCCAATGCAGTGGATAAACCGCCAACCGTTCCTGATAGGGTGCCGATGTCGTCAGACAGTCCCGACACATCACCGGACAGAGACGAAATCGCAGACATCACTCCGTATTGTCACCAGAGCCGCCTCGATATTGTTAATGGCATTTTGAACAGCAGTAAGTTGAGTAGACAATCCAGCAATAGAGGCCGCATTGTCTTTGACCAGTTTGGCGGTTGGCGTGGTATCGCTATAAAGCGTCTGCATGATACTGCCGTGCATGTTGCCCATTTGATTAGCTAGATTTCCGGCTGATATACCAATCTGGCTATTGATGGAGCCCGCCGACATGGCGACTTCAGAGCGAATCAAAGAGGTATTCGATTCAGATAACGCATCTTGCTTTTCAAGCAGTGAGCCCAAATTGGAAAAACCAGACTCAAGCGCATCAATGATGCTTGATTCGGTGTCGTTCAACCAACTAGCGAAAGTGGTAGACTGCGTTAACACTCTGTCATTGGTGTATTTATTGATTCGATCTTCTGTATAAAAAAGTTTGCCATCGATATCAGCGTTAAGCTTTTTATTCGATTGCTCATGTAAGTATTTGGCGTATTTGGCGACGTCCTTTAAACCATCACATTTGATTTTAAGGTCATTACCAACACTTCCCGCATTTTCACAGACCGTTTCAACATGAGACGGTTGCGTGACAGGATTATTCGAACTGTCGCCACCATCACCACCGCTACCATTATCATTAGGTGAACAGTCACCGTTAACATCACAAGAGCCGTCAGTATCATCAGACCCCGTACACGATTCGCCAGTGGTAAAAAAACGCAGCCGTACAGTAACCAACCGTTTCACTGCATGTCCATGTCGAGGTACTGCTAAAATTATCCTCTGCTCGACACCCGTTCGTACAGGTGGAATAAATCTGACTGGTGCCTAAAGGAAACTTCAAAACAGGCGTATCACCAATAGGACAATCCGCAGCACGAGAGAACGACGAGAAAAGGACAACCAATAAAAAGAGGATCATCAAACAGGTATTAATCGCACTACGCATCGTCATTCCCTCAAACAAAAAAACGCCCCCCATCAGGAGGCGTTAATACCAGTGTAAAAGCCGTATAT